AATACTATGCGTCTCTATACATAATTTAAATCACTTTTCCTGTTAAGTTTGTTTACTTACATACATTAAAATACGATTTTTCAAGTGTACGAATATTTATTTCCCCCCACTGTATCTAATGAATATAAAGCATCGCTGTGCGCCTCCGTTTACTCTGATAATTTGCCGCGGTCAGGGTACCGCTGCGTCTGCGGACCGGCGCACCGCGGAGAGCACTGCGAGTGGGGCGCCGCCGGGGCGCTGGAGGTTCCGTACTCGCTTAGCATTCTGGTGGCTTCAGCTGTCGCCTCAGCAGCTACACTGTTGCTCAGTAATGTTGCTCGGTCCCGCTATTTTTATTTCCACACTTAATGATTTAATAGTTTTGACATGTTTAAAGGTCCATTAACATCTTGGCAAAAGATGGTTTCAAAAGTTACAGTGGTAAAATGAATATTGCCCCAATGTTACGTCGATTTCAGAACTTGTCAAATTCTCAATTTCCGGAGGATAACAAATTTCCATTAGCAGCCGTAAATAAATTTGATGCCTAACGACGCATATCATTCCTTTTCAGTTATCGTAAGCTGTCTTCTATGCCTCGTTCTGAAGAAGAAACGGCGAAGGAAATCTGCGCGTTGTTGCAGTGAGAGCGACGCGCGGGACCGCCGAGCGAACGCCAACAAAAGACGAGCGTCGCCAGCTTCGACCAAAGACGGTCTGGCGTCTCTGTCCGAACTCGCAGAACTATCGCCAGGGTCTTCTTCTTTGATTCCTTCTTCCTCCTGTCATCTGCGAACCAAAGAGGAATTGTGTTCAGATGAGCAAACTGCACAAAAAGAGACGTCGGTATCAATCATTGGGAAGTGCCCCCCTCGCATGTCCGTTGTTGGTGAGTTTTTAATAAATGCAAGTGAGCTCACTTTAATTTTTTATTTAACATCAATTTTGTATGAATAATTTACCTTCTTACAGTAAGATATTTCTCGTTCAAAAAATCCTGTTATCTCGTTTGTAAGTTTTTAACTCCATCACTTTTTGACAGGCATGGACCTCGTTAATCTACCTCTCCCAACTGGCGGAACCACCGGCATGGGAGACCCAGACATACTTCTCCCTCCACCGCCCCTGCAGTTCAACCCCAGCAGCACAACCTTCGGGTTTGATGGTGGAGGTCCGAACTCCAGAGCAGGTTCGTTCTATTAGGATACTGGGATAATTGGCTGGGAAAAAGTGGATGAATTAAAAAAATGTTGGAGCATAGGCAATATTGCAGTAAAGTTATACCAGCAATTATTTATAAGTACTAAATATATTTGAACACGAAGCATGCTAAAGTCTTTTGAATAGCGATCACTTTCAACGAGAAATTCTTCTGTTTACTAGGAAAATAATAATAAATGACGAGAAGAAGGCCAAGTAATCGGTGTTGGAGCCGTAAAAGAACTGCTCAAAAATGGTCGACTTGAATAAGCGCCAAGCTACGGTGTCAGAATGATGTATTGGGAAGATCTAATTTAACTTGTCACTATCGATGCTGACGCCGGTAATGATTAGGTACTCGTATCCGATGACCTGCGTCCTGGCAGAGCAGTCTGCGCAGCCAAAGCGAAAAAAGGTGAATGCTAATGCTGTATTATTTATTATACTTATTAAAAATGCACCGCCATTGTAACACTGCGATTTAATTCTGTAATATCTTCATTGCAGATTACCTTCAATGACACGAGTGAAGAATACTTGGTTGAAAACGTTAACAGACCACTTTCATTGTTATTATGAAATATTATATTTTCATCGAATAATACAACTGATTTTCATTTACCTTCCTGTCGGGCATAATATAATTTTGCCGTAAGCACGAATGTCTTATTTTTGCAAGTTTGTTCTTTGCCAGTAAAACTCTCGACGCGGAAGGTGTCTATTTTATAAAATAACAATAATTGATGGTATAAGTATCCAAAGATATAACTTAGTGCCTAAAATTCGACACGAGCCTGGCATGGTGCACCTTATATAGATTTGCAGGAACAACGTAAATCAATTTTTCAACTATGAATAGAAATGTTCTTTTTTGTTTCTTTTTATTCAATTTCCTTACATAGCCTTTGTACTCAGGAACAACCCATAAACCTTGGCGAAGTTGGCACGCAACTTTGAATTATAGACGAATTATAGAATTATTTTGCTCTGGTGCTGCGTGTTAATACACTTATGACGCAAAAGTTTACTGCTCATATATTGAGTGAATATTTTATGAAACTGTGAGTATGAGGGCACATAGGGGCAGAGAGACATACATGGTGTCATATACATATTGTATCCCTGCCAGGTAGGCTTCTTAGCAGTGGCGTATTTAAATACAATACCAAATCGGGCGGAACGTGAAGTATGGATGAAAGAGACTATTCAAGGGCTGCAACCAGGCCATGAGAAGAAGTATAGAACTAAGCACGCTCATTCTAGACACTAATGCAAGAAATATTTTGTATGTTTTTTTTCTAACAGATTGCGAATGATAAATTTTCTTCATTTGTCTACTGCAGTTAATTTTTTTTCTTGATTCAGGTGATTTATTTCCAGTAATTTACCTAGGTATCATTTTATGTTCTTGGTTCTGATTTATTCTGACATATAATATGGCAAGAGGCAAACAACCTATGAAATGGAACAACATTTAAATAATAATAATAATAGCGGTGTCAGCGTTGCTAATTAGGCCAATACGCCTGTCGCCAATTCTTAACACCACAGAATTTTTCACAGCTTGTTGCGGGTCTCGAACACGCAAGTAACTCACTGCTCCAGTATCCCCTGTGCTTGACCACCCAGCCACCTCGCTGATTTTAACCTGAACTGTCACAGTAACCTGAACCCGCACCTCTCTGCTCTAATTCTCGTACTCAAAACTGCAACCACTGGGCCGCTCTACCAATTTTAAGCAATTGAAGCGTTAGAGATGAAAAGAGGGATCTATGAGATGCTTTGTCTGGTCGAGCATCGCTACCAACTTTGGCATCGGTTTTCGGTGGCATAATGCAGTAGTTGGAAGCAGTCCAGCGAACCTTCACATCGGAATTCAATGATATGCGGTAGATAAATTACAGGCAGAGACTGGGGCACCTTAGACTATACACCGTGGACATGAAAGGGCTCAACTCTTTGGCGTGGTCTTCTATCTGGAGTGGTATCAGTGGTTTTCAGTCTTCCCCCAAATATAATATGGTATGGGAGCAAGGAACATTCCATGACAACTTTCATAATGGTTTCACTTGTCTCATCAACATTTGTGCTCTACTTTTTATTATTAAAACATATATAGAATATTCCCATAAAACGTGTAAGTATGGGCTCATTTTTGTCAACTACTAATGTGGATACAAAAACATCCATGGATGATATAATTAATCGGGGAACAGCCTCTATAGTATACAGTGTTGGTAACTTAAATGGTAATTGGTAAGTATTAGATTCAGTATCGTAGTAGACATTGTCGTGTGTGGTGTTTGGTGATGTTGGCGGTGCTTTGTCAACTTAGGCTTGGTCTGGACTATCAAGTTTTATGTTAATATTTTCCCTTTGATCCTCACTGAAGGATTTGTGCTACAAGAAAGTTGATTGTTGTCGAAATTTGGCTAAAGACGCGCATCGGTGGTTCAACTTAAAAACATGTTAATTCTAACAATATGTCAATTGTTGCATGCTATATTATTTTAGTCTGTTAGCATCACTATAACGCATTCCACGAGCCTTTAGTGTTGATATGTGAAGGTAAAAAGCTTTAAATTTGAGTTAGCGTAAAGCGCACAAATTGCACCATCTAGAAATTTTCTCGAACATTCTCGCCAGATGCCCTTGTCTCCAGCAAGTCTGCGCCTGACAGGTGCCCAGTTGAAGATAAAATTGAGAACGGCGCGACTTGTATTACTACTGAATGGTTTTACTAGCCTATCTACTGATGACCGCATTGACTTCTTGCATCAGCATTTAGGGATATTCATACTCATTGCATTTAGGTATATTCAGACCTAACATTTTTGGCGAGTTTAGTGTTTCTATTTTGAACCTTAGTTTCTGAGGGAAATGAGATAACTGCTACCGTGCTATTGCACTAATAATGACTGATTCGTGATAATTTAGGTAGTAATTGAATATTTTGAATTCCCCCATGACATTATTGTTTCCTCAGTCTATGAAAACCTACTACCGAGCACCGGTACTGGCTGTAAACGTGTTGCAATATTTAGCTGATTTTCCTGTGTGCGCCTTACTTTGTTGCTAGTTAATCCTTCGTCAGATATTGTGTAATATTCTTCATACCATAGTAGTAGATCTATTAGCTTCAAAGCTTTATTTTTGATCCCTTTTTGGCTCGTGTGAAGCATTTTATAAATGGGTATTTAAGATAAAGAGAAGTACACAGTATTTTTTCCAAGGATGTGATTTCATCTAGGCCGCAAAACTAACGCTAGCGGGCTTCTGCTTAGTTCATTAGAGAGCTCTGTGGACCAAGGTCGCTCATGGATTCCGGTAACTTCTTGTGACCGTTCGTTGCCTCGACGCCTTAGATGCCTCATCACATCGGTCCAGTTACTTACACGCGTTACTAATATGACGGATGGAAATCGCCCTCCCTCTGGAAATGGAACGCACTTCTCTGGCAAATGAAATTTAAGTCTAAGATTGAAATTATTATCAGCTTGGGGGGGGGGGGATAGATAGACGCCCGCTTGGTTACTACTTGTGGGAAACAAAGTTTATTTATTAGCAGTTCCTATTTAGAAAATTGGATCAGAGATTCCATAATGTTATCCCTAACTCGACAGTAAATTACATTGAGTAGGTGAAGGTGAGTGATTAGTAGTGTCTGAATTTCTTGTATTTGTATACGTGAATCAAATGAAGATTCTAAATACCCAAATCCCTCTTATTGGATTTAAAGATTGTCGCTGTGCACGAGGACGAAAACGGCATATTAATTGTATAAAAAAAATTGTATTCGTCTGAGCGCTTTCATTCGATCTCAAATAAACTTATCTAATAAAAATTCACGCCATCGCCTCAATGCGGGGAACCATGTTCTCGCCGACAGGCGACAACTCCACCCGAATGAAAATAACTTCTGCACAAAATGAAATTCGGGTTTAAAATTTTATGAACGATATACATATTACGACTATTAGTGATGTTCAAATAATTTCAGTGTTCTTTTTATTCGTGTTCAAATTTAGGCAAACTAAAATTTTGCGGACTTGTTGACGTGATTGAGGTGAATAGAGATTGAGAATAGCTCTAATAAAATATACAGAAATTTCTGAATTTAGTTTTCTACTAATAACTTTCATGCTCCGTCCCTAAAATGACAAACCTAATGAAATTCATCCACTTCACAGCTCAGCAGCCGTTTCAATTTAAGTGTTTCAGAAAGGAGATTTTCTGATAACTTCCTTGATTTAACTCAGAAATTTACCTAATGTTTCTAGTGTTTCACAACACCTGCAGCACACGGTTCCTAGCGATGAGTTTTCCACCCAGATCTGAGTCTTTTAACTTCTCCTGGGTTTACTTCACATTTGCGTACCGGCTGTTTCCATTTCACGGGCATTATTTCAGAATTTATGAATTCTGTTGCATGATAGTAACTTAATTCTGTTATTTAAATCAGAATTTCACCGAATAAAACAAATTAATTCGCTTCACATTTACTCTCGAAATCGACTTGATTCAATATCGAGTTTCATCTAGCTGAAGGAATTTACATTCCAAAAGATTAGTGGCTGAAATAATTCCATAGACGTCTGTTGAGCCATTACAATATATTATGTTTTCCGATGATAATCTTGATTCAACGCCAGATATCACCGAACTCATGGAATTCATCTACTAAATGCTGAACCAATTCCATTGGTGTCAATTCAGCTTTCCTAGAATGGATTTTGTCGAGACTTACGGTACATTCACAATTCGAGACAAAATTTTCATCGCTGCCTTTACTACCTTTAACTGATCTTATACAGAGCCTTTTGCGAATGCAAACAGGCTTCGGCGTTAAAACTTTCCCCACGTGTAGTACTGGTGTTTAATTGAATATATTGGAAAGACATTGGTTATCGTTTGATAATATTGTCAGTCTAGGGTTGGCTCGTTAAATCTCGTCATGCATCACTGGCACTGTGATTGAAAAGTACTGTCTAGTCGTTGTCCTCGGATTTGGCAGTGTTCGGTTGACGTTTCCTCTGGAAAATCATCTAACTTGTGCTGCCCTCTGTCCAAATTTACGCTTTCTAATCAAAGTTAGAGTGCACCAAGTTTTTGCAAATTTTTAGAAATCGGCACTCACCCTAGCACGACTACGAACTGAAAACTGACTAGAGACAGTATCGTCTGGGATGTGGACAGGTTTCAGAGTGTCTTTCAGAATGTGTTCAGGGCCTTCTGCAATATAGGATAATTATATTGCCAGACACCTCATATTTTAAATCTTGAAGCTTAAAACTCAATCGGTAACTTCTTAAAGCAAGTAATTATCTCATTTGGCTTGTAGCCTCGAATAGCATGTTTAGTGAGTTTCCTGTTATGTGTCCAATTTTTATCGATTTAATTGCCTTTATCGGTTTTAGCTAGATCAGTTTATCGGTGTTAGCTGTATCGGTTTTACCTAGTATCGGTTTTACCTCTCATTCAAGTAATTAATTTAATTAAGAACATATATATCATTTGTTTTTTATCAGTGACTGACACTCCTTCAATCTTCTGTGAACTACGTATTTGGTAGCACGTGCAATTCATCCGTCGTACTGTTTCAACATCTTTGTGCAAGTTTGGTTCTGGAGAACGATTTTATACGAATGTATTCAGAGTCTATTGCGTTGTGTAATTTTCATGATTCTAATGTTTCGTGTAAAGAAATGTTTTACGCGAGGCATAATTTCTTTTCCTTATTCTAGATGGGACGTTTATTGTATCTATTGCATCATAATTTTATCGTAATTACGACGTAAGTTTAAGAACTGAAATCAATGTCACTCGCTTGCTTGAATCGCAAATTAACTCGAAATCTGGAAGCGAAATTAAAATAATTCACGACAGGGCATCATATATTTATAGAAATCGTTTCGGAGTCAAGCTCCTTTGCCAGTTTCGATCGCGCTTCATCTAGATTTTACTAGAAGGTTCTAGAAAAAAGTAATTCTTCCAGAAGGTTTCAGAAGATTCTTGAAAAAAAATCTAGAAGGCTCCAGAAACATCTAGAAGGTTCCAGAAACATCTAGAAGGTTCCAGAAACATCTAGAAGGTTCCAGAAACATCTAGAAGGTTCCAAAAACATCTAATTCTTCTAGAGGTTCTAGAAGATTATTGAATGGTGGTACTTGAGCCCACTCATCATACGCGAATCTTCTAGCAGGTTCTAGAAAAATCTTGATGGTTCTAGAAAATTCAAGAAAATTTTAGAATCTTTGAACGTAGGTATTCGACCTTCGTCCGCAATTATGTCAAGAGAATTAAAAGTCTTTTTCATGAAATACTTCCCAATTGTCAATCTTCACGTTTGTTGATGAACAATTTCAAACTCTACTCTAAGAAATGGGTGTGAATAACATCGTCCGAGAGATTATCGTTGAGTAATCAATTCACTTCGCAATTGCGCAGTGGAAAAAATAATATCGTTGGTTTTGTTAGTTCAACTGTTCCAGAACGAGTTTTCTGTTATAACTTTCGTGTTTCGAGAGCAATTTACCTTTGATCTCAATCAAAATTTGAAAAATATGATAATTTTACACCGGCGAGAGACACTGTCTTCCAGCATGTGAGATTCGATTATAAAATTCAATTTAAACCGAGAAAGGCAAATGAAAAAAGCCAGTTTTATTGGTAGCAAGTATAATATTTGATATAAACAATGTACGTGTTGAGCGAAAATTTTCAGTATTCTTCTCCACTCACTTCAATGAATGGAACCTGAAATAAATAAGGTATATTATGAATTTCAATACAATAAAGAAAAATTCCAAAGTGAGAATATTCTTTGTATTTTTACAATCCCGCGTTCATCTCTGCGTATGGCATTTTCGCACGGGTAAAATTTAATTCTAATTTCGAGCAGATACTGTAGATAAGAATTCAAATCCCTCTATTACTGCACGTTTCAAGAGAAATTATTGAGAATTTTTTGCAGTATTTGTCCAGGTTTCCCTGGTAAATTATCCCGGTATCCAAATAGAACGAACCTGCTCTGGAGTTCAGACCTCCACCATCAAACCAGAAGGTTGTGCTGCTGGGGTTGAAGTGCAGGGGCGGTGGAGGGAGAAGTATGTCTGGGTCTCCCATGTCAGTAGATCCGCCAGTTGGGAGAGGTAGATTAACGAGGTCCATACCTGTCGTAAAGTAAACTGATCAAGTTAAAAACCTACCTGTGAGATAACAATAAAAGTTCGATTACAGTAACTTTTAGTGTAATAAGAGTAGTTAGTTCGTTAATTGACCCAATTACAAACGCTTTAGGTCAAATATCTAGCGCTGAAGGTCACGATGCGCATCGCGAACTAAAAATAAAAATCGGCACATATGTTCGGTGTTGAACGGGCAATTTAGCAACTTGTTTTGATGTAGCCAGAATACTTGTGTGTGTCCGGACCAACTCGACGGAGATGAGGTCCGGGGCACTGGGCCATCTAGGCGAGTTCGAGTGTGCAATGATGAGGATAACCGACATGGTTCACCACAATTGGGGCATATAGCCGGGCAGTGGCACGGCAACTCATGTGCATCATCTTCTCGCCCATTGCGGTGGTTGCTCGACACCACGCTTTGGCTCTACGTTGAATCACTGGCACTTATGGTAGCGGAGTGGGCGAGAAATTAACCATCATTGAGCATCGGTACCTCAGTTCGAAGCTTGCATGTAGCACATATAATGGGAAATCCACCAGTGACCTAGGCATTATCTTCTTCATTGGTAGATTAATTTGGCAATAAAGTGACTGAGATGCTCTTCTAGTTTTTCGACTGTGTATTTGGGCTCATTTCTTTAGTAGATATATTCCTTTGTTTTGTTCAGTGCTTCGTGTGGCTCGACGGTGACGAAAGAAGCTGCCAATGAATTTATGTCCAGTATTGATTGACTTTTAGATTTATTTTGCACTTTCAACGTGAGTGCTTCGTCGCGAATCTAGTGCTCATTATTCGACTCATTCCCTTGTGCCTGATCAAGTTGCCGGCTAGATAGAATTACGTCACTGGCTCTCAAGTTTTCACCCGTCGTCGACGAGATGCGGAAAAAGTGAGAATAATCTTCTGGAATCGACCGCGTTTGCCTTCATGTGTATTGATGTTTATATTTCTTGTTTTGCCTGGTTCTGTGTGACCCAGAGGTTCCAAGGCACCGGTTAAAGGACTCTAGTATCGACATCTAGTGTCGACATCGACAGTGCTGGTCGGCGAAATCGTGCAAGAAGACCCAGTCGTCAGCGGAATATCAACAAAAGTTAGGGTTCTCTGAGTGGCGAATACTTGGCTTTAGATGCCTCTTTCGGAGTAGGTCTCCAGGCTGGCTCAAGCTGGAAGAGGAACCCTTTGGTGATCTGTATACTACTACGGCATCTCTGCTGTTAGGCAAGCGAACACCAATCAATAGGAGTAAATATCCCTCCCGCCGACATACCGGAGCCACGGCGGCCCATCAATGTTACCTCAACCGTCGTCGCATTTAGAAAGCCTTCATACCACGGCAATGACAGGGTCACACGAAGAATAAACAGAATTGCATACAACTGTAAATTTAAGTGATTGAATTGATAAAAACTCACCAACAACGGATATGCGAGGCGAGCAGTTACCAATGACTGATACTGACGTCTCTTTTTGCATAGTTTGCTCTTCTGAACACAATTCCTCTTTGGTTCGCAGATGACAGGAGGAAGAAGGAATCAAAGAGCAAGACCCTGGCGATAGTTCCTCGAGTTCGGAGTGAGACGCCAGACCGTCTTTGGTCGAAGCTGGCGACGCGCGTCTTTTGCTGGCGTTCGCTCGGCGGTCCCGCGCGTCGTCCTCACTGCAACAACGCGCAGATTTCCTTCGCCGTTTCTTCTTCAGAACGAGGCATAAAAGACAGCTTACGATAACTGAAATTGAATTAAATACGTCGTTAGACATCAAATTTATTTACGGCTGCTAATGAAAATTTGTTATACTCCGGAAATTGTGAAGTTGACATGTTCTAAAATCGACGTAACATTGGGACAATATTCCTTATACTAATGTAACTTTTTAAAACAATCGTTTGCCAAGATAGTGAAGGTCCTATAAAAATGTCAAAACTGTGGAAATTTCGAAACTATAGATTAAATTTGGAATAGCAAAAAACATAAAGAAAACTAGACATAAATCAGTAAATGTGAAAATAAAAGTAGCGGGACCGAGCAGCATTACTGAGCAACAGTGCAGCTGCTGAGGCGGCAGCTGAAGCCACCAGAATGCTAAGCGAGTACGGAGCCTCCAGCGCCCCGGCGGTGCCCCACTCGCAGTGCTCTCCGCGGTGCGCCGGTCCGCAGACGCAGCGGTACCCTGACCGCGGCAAATTATCAGATTAAACGGAGGTGCGCAGCGATGCTTTATATTCATTGGATAGAGGAATTATAATCTGATTTAAAGTACACAGCACAAAATAATGAAATTTTGTCCGTACATTCTCATTGCTTGGAAACATGAGGGTACTTTGCACTGAAGTTTTATTAATAGGCCTCGAGTTATAAATAATTATATTAACATATCGAATAACAACGTAATTATTCATGACCGATGTAATGAGTTTAATTATAATGTAAATGTTTTTATCAAAAGTGAAAAACTTCGAATGTTGGATAAATTGATCACTGGAAGACCCATACACAAAGCACTATAAAACATTCCACTGAATTCGGATCTGTAATCACAAAATTCATATTTAATCACACTGAGAGCGACAAAATTATGTCCCATACGAAATTACGATCTGTCACAGCCGAATTTTGAAGCATTCCAGGAAATGACACTTTATTTCACTAATATCAGTAGCATTTGAATGTTTCAAATTGAAAGATCGAGCGCTTCATTTTAATCGAGTATAGTTCAATGAACTCAAAGATCTGATGGACCCAAGCGCATTGGTTCAGGCAGATATGAGGCAAAACTCAAATCAAATGAATGGCATGGACAACAAATAGCGCGATGCTGTCATACACGACATGAGTGAAAGGAATGAATTATGCAAGTAATAAACTCACCAGGATGAGTTTTTACACACACGCCCAGATTGAGGCAAGGGTCGTAGCGGCATTCAAAACAAATGGACAACAAATAGCGGGATGCGATCATACACGACATGAGTGAAAGGAATGAATTATGCAAGTAATAAACTCACCAGGATGAGTGTTTACACACACGCCAAGATTGAGGCAAGGGTCGTAGCGGCATTCGTCGACGTCTAAACACGCGGTGCCGTCACGCGAGAGTTCCTCGCCAGCGGCGCACCTGCAACGCCATAATTTTAGATACAAATTAAAATTGCTGAAATAGAAAATGTGAGATTATCGATTCGATTGCTCGTACGTTGCTAGAGAAGATATTTGATGAACGGCATTACGATTCTTGTTCAGGTGAGTAAGTAATTGGCTTTAGAAAATACCTACTTCGTATGAAGGGATCCTAAATGGTGAGGAAATATAGAATATAGTCTGAAGCTTATAATTCAATCGATAAGAGAATAATTCCCCCATAGTTGATTGATTATTGCGCTAGTGGGAAGGTAATTGGGTATATAAAGGAAAGGGACGAATATGGGAGGGATGAAGGCGATGCAAATGAAATATTGGAACACAATCTGAAAATTATATTTTGATCGTTATACGAGAGTAGCCTAATGATCTGTAAGGCCTGTGGCTTCGAGGGAGCAAGTTACGGAGCAACACCAATCAACCACCAATAAATTTTTTATTAATGAAGATTCAAATCCCCTACAAACCCGCAGGTGTTGAGGCCCCAGCTGTGGCCGCAGGTCAGAGAAGGAGGACAGCTGGTGTTGGTGCACACAGACGGCGACGTGCATCCCGAGATGACGTTTGCAAAAGACGCTACTGAGCCAGCTGAATTACTCGTGTTCTTGTTGCTGTTGTTCCTGCTGTTTCTGCTGTGGTTATTATTGACAATTTCTGGCAAGGGCAGCAAATGTCCAAAGACGCGCACGGCAGACAAGCAGCCTGGCAGAAAAAGTATATTCAATTCAAAAGATATTCAAAATGGGAACTTTTAGGAGCGTATGTGGTACCATAGAAGCGTTTATTATAAATGTTTGTATTACATGTTTTTGATTTTCAATATGAAATTAATCTGGGCTAATTACAATTCCATGTAAACTAAAATCAAATTAGATAATGCAAAAATTGAATTTCAGCCAAACTCTATTTCCACTCAAACCATATATCTCATCATCACTGCTCATTATTCATCAATGACATAATGCATTCATGAATGCATGCAACCGAACTCTTTCTTCAGATTGAACACAAACATTTTCACTCATTACACCATTATTAAAATCCTTCCACAAGCTGCCGCCATCCAGCTCGACTCTATTCCTCCTCTTGCGGTGAGACCGAGATCGTTTCTTGCGGGAAAATCTGAAATATTCGAAGCCAGGGAGCCGAGGTTCGTCCGATCTCCAGGAGACAAGCGGCCGGGAGTTGGTGTGACGAGCCTCGCGCTGCATCTGAGTAGACGCTTCAGTTTTGCTGTCAACGAAATATGCTGAAGATATACATGAATTTTTAGCAGCATCTGGATAACTCTGCGTAAGTTTTACAGTTTCTTTAGAAGTTGAGGCATCCTCCGCAGATCTGAAGGCCACATCCACAGATCCGAAGGCTTCATCCGCAGATGTTGGCCTTACACCCGCACTCTCAGTCAGACCTCCCAGCCACGCGCCGTCGTGTCTGCTGACGCTGAAAGGTAAACTCTGCAGCTCTGGCAGCAGAGCGCTGGCGTACGAGTCTTGCTCCGCCTCATCTATGGCGACCTCCAGCAACTCTGCGTGCCTGCAACGATAACTCTTATTTCTATAATATTAGCATAAAATATCAGTTGCTTGAATTGATAAAAGAGCTTTATCGATGACATTTTGCTTATGTACCTCAGTAGTTTATTTATTATTCATTCCCGTAAGATAGTTAGACCATAATACAAGTTTTACTAATGCAAACCGCAGATTCCATTTTACAAATATACTTTTTACTACCAGCATACTAATGATTTATTTAGAAGTATCCTCCTACCTCTGCGCCACGATATGATGCCATTCTCCGTCGTCGAATTTTTTAGCAACGCAGAGCGAAGTGTACACGCAACCGTCCAAGCCAACGACAAGACAAACACTGCCGGCCTGGAGCTCCACACTCAGCCAGTCGGTGCGGTGACGTGACCGCAGAAGCACAAGTGTTCCATCGCTCGTCCGCGTCCGGAACCTAAATAAAATTTATGATTGTGAGTCATGAATCTTTGACAAATGTTTCACTGAATAATGAATGAAAGTTACCTCCATTCGTTATTGTTCACAGACTGGAAACAATGTTCAATTGCATCAAAACATGGATTATTAAGGCGTACCTACTTCTCATAATGTTCTGTACATAAATTCGAAGTTCATGGAGTGGTGAAATGAAATTGAACTAAAGTTATAGCCTATAGGGGAAAACTGTCTTCAAACCTAAGCTCAATTTGCGCCCAATACTCAGGCGGGGTGAAGGAGAGAGCGACGTTGACATGACTTTTGCTGAGGAAGAACAGCGCCGGAGACTCGGCCAGACAGCCGGCACCCGCCCGCCCCGGGGCGCACTCGCACTGCTCCGCGCCCGGCGACCCCTGGCATCTGCGGTATGGTGACGTATCGAATCATCAGAAACTGTTGTATCATCAAACTTTATGTATAATATTGGCTTATTATAAGGTTAATCGATTTATCATACAAATTGATGAACATGCTGGAATATACATATATTAGTGATGAATATATGGGATACGAGGCATCACCTAAAACGAATGCAGGTAGTTTATATAAAAACGTTCAGTATCGCAAATTTCGGGATGCCACATAGCAAAATATTCAATAGTTGTCGTAAAAGAGGAAAAATCAACAGTTTATTTTATAATCTTCCTCTGCATTCCATGATCAAATAAACAAGCTTGTCTTGGTTGAGGGGACACAAAGCGTACCGAGCGTGCCGATGACACGCGTTCGAGGGCCGAAAGCAGGAGAGGGCGCCACAGCCAGCCACGCTCGCGGTCATGGCGCCTGGCGACCCGAGGTCCTGGAATTCTTTGTTGACGCGCACGTGCGACAAGCAGCCGTGAAAATCATGATCAGAGTCAAGAGATTTCCTCTCGTGTGAAGATTTGGGGTCCTCATAACGTCCCCCAAGCTGCAGAGGGGCTCCCCAACCAATAGGGCCTTCGTTGTAGGTAAGGGGAAGAGAGCCCCGGCATTGGGTGGACTCGAGAGGAAGGCTGGATGTTGTTTGGCTGGTCGAGGCGAAGGGATCTGAACCTGTGTCCAGGCAGTGATCCAGCATCAAGGTCACCGTCTGCAACGTCAGTTGAAACAAAATTACTACGGAAATAATGAATACTGGAATTCTTAAGAAAGTCGACAAAGATGAACAGGAAATTATACAACGGTGACCAACTATGCAGAACATTACGACACTTGAGAAATTCTATGGCCAATTTGACAAATATTTCATTTACTCTTAGATGTCAGATAAGAGTTATTTAAATGCCACGAACAGCAGCTAATATTAATTATTCAATATGGGCCATCTACAGTAGAAATTTCAGTGTTTCTCATAAAATTCAAGTACAATCGCGATGTTAGTGTAGTCATATGTTTATATTCAAAATTGATCACACTATGCATTTACCTCATTAATCCAAAAAACGTCGAGTCGATGCCA